CCTGGTATGATATTAATTCAACACTTAGACATGTTTTCAAATCCTTCAAGATTAAAAAAGTTTCGAAATCTCAGCAATAATCAAGGAGATCAATTCGATACATCTTCTTTACTTAGAATAAAATTTCACATTTCAATTGCTTAGAGATTAAACTAATAGTTTTAATTCAGATTTGATTAAATAATTCAATATCTCAGTTAGTAAGAAAAAAGTTTAAGTGATCACATAATACTATTTAAAATAAACTCTCAGAACTAATGAATTAAATACTTGTATTATTCTTCTTATACTTATATAAGCATAAGTAAACACTTATCAGTTGTTCGAACAAACTTCAAATCGTTAACTAATATTTTTATTTTAGACAAGTGATTTAATTCATTCGTTAATCGTTCGTGTTGATCAATCAGGTAAATTAAAAAATATTTGAAATAAAAATAAAAAAAAACTTTTTTTAATTAGAAATAAAAATTCATGATAAAGAAAAAGAATGTTCCAATCTTGAAAAAAGTTTAATAAATCTTCAATCTGAAATTGAATCTCGTGTTGATTACAATCAATTTGAACGTTTATGTGATGAATTACAACGCGCATTAGATCGAGAAAAACAAGCACAAGAATTACTTAATGAACAAAATAATCAATTAAAATCTTTAACTGATATTATTCATCAAACACAAAATGAAAAAGATTTTATTCAAGAAAAATTTAATCAAATTATGCAAAATGAAATTCATTCAAAAGATAAAATTCAACACTTAAATAAAGCTCATCAACAAATGGATGAAAATGTTAAACGAGCTGAAAAAGCTATTCGTCTTGTTGTCAGGTATATTCTCTTTCTCGTAGAGAAGAGTCCAGTAAACATAAATTGTTTGCTTGTGTGTCCGCAGGGTCAAAAAAACATCGAGGACCAATTTTTTGGAAAAGATATTTCTAGAGGTATTTCGATGCGGGCACTCCGAATTGGAGGTCTGTTGTGTGATCAACGTGAAGGGGAGGGAAGAGATCAAAAAAACATCGAAAACGGATTTTTCACGGTTTTCAATTATTTTTCCAGTAGATGTGAAGACGATACATTTTCACGAGAAAGAGCGTTACTTGTTATTAACCATTAAATGCATAATTCTTTTTTTTTGAAGTGATAAAGAAGCAATTTCAGCATATTGTACTCGAATTAATTCTGTATTGAATGTAACTGAAAAACGTGGAGTCGATAATGTTGAACAGTTAATAACGCAACTACATGCACTTGCTCAACTTCCTCAAAATTTTGATCAAAAAAGATCACCACCAGAAATGGCTTTATGTCAAGTATGTTTTCGTTTTTTATTCCTTTGAAATAAACTTTTTTTCTTTCGATGAAATAGAGCATGGCTTTAGGATTTGTTAATTTATTAAATCGTTTAAAAGAATTATTAAATACAAATAGTAAAGATATTGAATCATTAAAAGAACATTGTCAAATGTTAACAGAACAATTTCGACAAACATCAGCAGAAGAAATTTCACAGATGGATTCATCACAAACAATTATTGTTCAAGCACATCCTGTTAGAGTTCAAGTTAATCATCATCCTCAATCAGCTTTTAAACCAATTAAATCTGAACAACACGATGATTAATTAATATTTATATCTAATATTTCCTTTTTTTTTTGTTTTCTCAGTGTTGTTTCATTTGATGACTTTTTATAAATTGATAATATAGTGAATAGAAAATCAATAAATAGAAGATATCTTATGAATTTTTTTTGTTTTTTTATACTTACAACAATAGTTAAGTTTCATAGACGCAGTGCTTTATGCACGTTTCTTTTTTCGGGTAGACACCACCCACTTGCTAGATAAAACACTGCATAGACGAATAACATTCAACCTAACGACCGTGATCATTTCTATTCAATAATTAAATATCTTATGTTATAGAAATCGATATCATGTAGATATATATTCACGTTCGATGTAATTTAGTTCTCTTAAATATGTTTATTTTGATGGCTAGTTAACTGTTAATAAATGCACTTCCTAACCCATTCATGATTTATTACTGTTTATTTACCAGGGTCGTTTTTAGTATTATCATATAATGAATCAGATCATTTTTTTCGTTCTTTTATATATTATGGGTATTACGCGCTAGATAAGAGAATACAGTTTCTAGATTTTTCTCCTTTCATATTCTTGTCTCTCTGTCCTTTTAATGCATAAAAGCAAACGAAGTTCTGATGAATTTACATATATGAAATGGAATGAAATATTATGGGCTCATCAAAGAAATAAATTTTGTTTCAAAAGATAATATTATCGGCATTTTATCAGAGACGAAATTCTCTACTTTATGGATTCATGAAATGAATCCATATGCGGGACAATATTTTGTCAATGGAAACTACTCCATGATAAAGGACACCCAGGTTGTATGGATTCAAGGTCATTCGAACTAAGATAAACGAATTTTTCAAGTTGAAAACGTTCTTGAATATATTGAAAGGCAGATTTTCATCAGTATATATGAATGACTCGATTATTGTTATCGACGAATGAGGTAGGCTTTTATTCAAACAATAGATTCCTAGAAAAGCACATAAGTATAACATAATGACACACAAAATCCCATGGCGAATCTCGGACATAGTCAAACGCTCGTTCGAAATACTATCGAATTGTTATAGCTGATAACTTCATTATCAGTATTTCTCTTGTAAAACGTTTCTTTGAACATGATTAGAGTTATGAGAAAAAATTAAGACGCAAATATTCACAAGGTCATTGCCTATTCAATAACTGCGATGGACACTGAACAAATCAATACTAAAAATGAATATATCATGAATTTATACGTTAATTTTCAATGAAATATTTTCTCTTATTTCTAAAAGCTAAAAAGTGGATTTTTCTTGTCGATATGCGATTAATATTAATTTAGATTATTAGAACAACTAACCCAGAATAAATTAGACTATTTGTCCATTTGATTGAAACACTTTCTCTAATAAAAAATATAACGCTTAAAATTCTACATAACGTTTTTTAGATATATTGATGAAAGGTAAAAACATACAAATAGATGTCAAATGTAGATGGTCAAGCATAATAAATGACTACGCGTTTTAATTTCAATGACCCTGTTAAAAAAGTAAAATATACGAAAAGATGGAGCGTGAAAAGCGCTACAATTTACAAAAGAACAGTCATAAAAAGATGAAATAAAAAAAAACGAACGAATTCATTTTGTACCAAAAATAAATATCATTTTCGCATGATCGAAATTTGATCGCTCCAAATGTATTACGCATTTTAAAAATAAAAAGTGCAACTATAAAATAAACGGTCTTATGTAAATTATAGAAGTTTTCATGCTGCATCTTTTACGGGACGATAGGGAAGTAAACCGCGTAGTTACTTTACGTTTAAAATAATTTGTTCGTTGCGAAAAATATAAACAGTCTAATTTATTCTGATTCACTAAGTTTTATTCTAAATTTCTGATATAAATGAATTATATATCTAGTTCTTATTTATTTATTGAATGATTCTAAATTCTAATACAAGATGTAACATGAATGACAGAAAAAAAAACAATTTTTTTTTAAAAAGATGCTTTTCCACAAACAGTTTATTCAATTTAGTGAATATATTCACTACTTATATCATGTGCTGCATACACATTACTTGAATAAGGCGGTGATGGATAAAACACTTTACCATTGGATTCAGCCCTAAAATAAAATTTTCTTTAAATAGATTTGAAAAAAAAAGAATTTAAAATTTACATTTTATTTTGAATTGTTGGAGGTAATGGTAATATGTAAAATGATAAAACAACCAGTGAAAAAGCACTGATTATGGATATAGCTAGAGCAACAAGAGCTAACCACCATGCAAATGATAAATGACCTGAAAATGTATTTTTTCCTTGAGCAGCAAATAAACCAATTGTTGCTGATGCAAAAATGACTAAAAAGAAATTATTTACTTTTTTTTTAAGTAAGATTTTAAAACAAACCTGTTATAAACATTGACATAGATGATGCAAAAAATAATAAACCCATAGATCTTTGACATAAACCAACGACAAGTAAAATTCCAGCAATAACATAAAATACTAAAGCAACAACTTCTAATGATTGACTTGTTCGAACAAAATCTTAAATAAAATAAAAATAATGTATAAAATTTTCGAAAAAAAAGAAGAAAACATTTTACCAGGTGGTCCAAGAAATGCATTATTTGTTATATTAGTTGGATATGAACGAGAACTCCAATCAGCACATCGATCATAACCAGCAACCTATTTAAAATAAATATTTAGATTATTTTAATTAATGTAACAAAAAAAAATAAAAATAACGAACTTCAATGTCACATAAACGCCATATACCAATTTTGATTGGAACTGTTCCATAAACAATCCAATCCGATAAACAAAATGATATTAAATAAAGAATAAATGATAAAAAGTAGGATATTAGAGATATCCAAAGACTTGTTAGGCCAATTGAACCAGACACACGAACAAAATGCATTCTTTTTCCTTTCTTTAAACTCGTTCAAATGAAAAATGATAACAAGGAGCAGGTCAACATCGTTCATGCGTTAAATGGACATTAATGCTTTTCTTTCACTATCATTTTTTTTTATCGACCAAACCATTTATTTTGTTCAATATAACAAAAAAATTGTGAACAGATGTCTATGAGAATGATTCATTGATGACAAATTTAATATATGATTACCTACTTCACTGATAAAGGCCTGATAAAAACATAGTTATCCTTCGATCATGATTTTTGTCGTTGTTATAAAATAAGTCACATTGTTGTTGTCGTCACACATGAATGATTAGTAGAAATAAATAAATCGTAACTATATGTTGTCTATAGTATATATTTATTTTATTACGAATGGGTTTGATAGGATCTCGACTGGGTCAATTTAATAATATTCCAAGAGAAAATAATTCATGGCGAATAACAAGTGTAGATTTTGCTAGAAGAATAATTAAAATAAATAAAACAAAATATATTATTGGAGAACATGAATTAGGAAGAGGAGCATTTGGAAGAGTTTATCCAGCACGTCGGTCGACGGATGGTTTGTTTTTTATTTGAAAATATTCAAATAAAACTGTTTCTTTTTCAAGGTGTTAATGTTGCAATAAAAGTCGTTAGTTTAGCTGAAAATTCCGAGATATCTCCATTATTAGGTGAAGCATTTTTAAATGAAATACTTCAATCAAAACGATTATCAGCACAATCAAAACATGTTGTTAGAATGTATGATTTTGATTTTGATCCAGTTGGTCTTGCTTTTATTGTTATGGAACGTGGAGGTTTAGATTTAGAAAAAACTCTTATAAATAAAAGAACAATATCAATTGCTCAACAAAAAAATCTGTGGAAACAAATGTTAAATATTCTTATTACACTTCATAAAAATTCTCTAGTTTGTTTTTATATTTTAAATTAATTTTGTTTTTATAACATTTATTTTATTTTAGGTACATTTAGATTTAAAACCATCGAATCTAGTCTTTTTTGGTGATCGATTAAAATTAGTTGATTTAGGTATTGCACAAAAAGCGAATAGTCGAGGGTAAAAATCATTTTTTTTAATGTAAAACAATAATTTTTGTTTTTAAATATTTAGTCAAGGTCCAAATGGTACATTTGGTTTTACTGCACCTGAAGTTCGTTTAATTCCACATAATTCTTCTCCTCGTTATACACATAAAGCTGACATATGGTCATTAGGTGCGATTTTATATTGGATTAATTATGGACATGGTCCTCAATATGATCAACATGATAGATCTTATCGACCTCCACCGGGAATACCTTCAGCTAGAGATCCGAATATTGTTGATATTCTTCGACATACACTTAGAATGAATCCTCATCGACGACCTCATACTGATTGGCTTGCTCGTCATCCATTTACACGTTCATTTTAATAAATTAATTTTTTTTAATAAAATTGAGAAGAATGGAGAAAAGTTTAATTTTTCTTTTTCGTTTTTCGTCGTCTGAGTAAATTGTGAAGAAGAATATTGAAGCATATCAAATAATTATTTTTGATAAAATCAAAGATCTTCTATTGTTTATTTGAAAAAAAACTGATGAGAAATAAATTATTCTATGTCATTTAACTGATTATAATCACGAGTTTCATTTCTCGTGTGAATAGATAAATTAAAATTTTTATCAAATAAATCTATCAATAGAATTCGAATTTTAATTATTGTTGATAGAAATTAAGATTAAATCATGTATAGAATATTGTACTTGTCAGCAAATATTTAAGATTCAAGTTTTTCAATATAAATCATATTCATCCTGGTATATTTTAAAATATCATAGTCAATTTTAATGACATAGAAAAGAATCTTTACATATTCTAAAATTGATCATTATAAAATAATCTGTCGTAAGAATATATTTCATTATTTTTTATAAAGTAGAGTTTATTACTAAATCTATGTTATTACATGTGTTCTTGATCTTATTGACCTGGATATGCATATATATATTGTACGTAAAAAAGAAAAGATTGCTATTTTCATTGTCGATAATTGATGAGTACATATATATCGATATGGTAAGCTGAACATATACATGTATCTA